GAAGTAAATGTACTCCAGAAACTTCTGTCTTCTAATAAGTCGTTACAGGGAAGTTAGGAATTATACTGCCCATTACTCACTCTCACATCACAGACTTTCCTGGTGCTTTACTGCAAGATACAGGATAAAACTTGAGTCCCCATTAAATTAATGGAAATACTCCAATATAGTTCTTCCCGATTTTCTAGTTTTGCCACTAAAATGTAAAGAGGAAAATATTGATAGAAGTTTGCTTAAGCCTTCATAAAATACATAAATAACTTGGCGATTTTAGCTAAATTCAAGCGGAATGTGAAAGGAAGTTCAGAGGACTATTTTGCTCTCTTGCTTAAAAGGCGAATAGGACCTGAGACATGTTGGATTAAAACGTGGCAGGGAGAGAATCATAAAGTACTTAACTTTCATTTTCCTGGGTATGCTTAGATAAGAAAACCAAGCAAGTTTAACATATTCAGAAGTTACTTTCTACTGTTGCACACTTTTCTTTGGACTCTGATTTCATTCCAAGAAGGGTTTATTTTGATTTATCTTACACCTGTTCCTGGCAAGCTAAACTATGCTGAAATAATCTGACTGCCTGCCTTCCCTGCTTCCAAGGGAAACACAGCCAAGGAGGGCTGCCTTAGACAGTAGACACACTCTTTCCTTCCTTATTGCCAGCCTGAGGAGTCGGTGGGGATGTTTGGGAAGGGGAGTGTAGTATTGTGAAGTGGTGAAAAAAAGGAGAGAGCAAGATGTGAAAAAAATATCAGGACCCTGGGAAAGCTCTTTTCCATCCAGCTTTCTTAAACATGTGCCAATGCATTTTCTGCTCACCCGTTCCCTCAGATGCTCCTCCCTTTGCCTCTCCCCATCCTTATTCTCCATCTAGAAGGGTATACACAAGTACATAACTCCCTTGGACCAATGCTTTAAAAAAGCAAAAAGAGAGCTATGCTGCTGTTGGCTTTTCTGTCTCTCATGGTCAGAGGGGACCAGAGACCCTCTGTGGGGCAGAGGGCTCCCAGCAGCACAGGGCAGATGCTGAATTAATTGGAATTTTCTGCAGTGGGGTACCTCCAGGAAACTCCACATTATAAGAAAAGCTGTCAGAGCTCCTAGAATGAGCAGGAACAAGGGCAAGGGCCTATGTAAAAAAAAAAAAAAGTCCTAATGAGAGTTGTCGAGAGTAACCAAAACCACTTTAATAACATATAATTCATAATATTTGTGTGACCTTACACTTTTTAAATTCTAAGAATGATTTGCAGAAGTGCGCTCTGCTTTCCTAATGATATCTGGTTTGCTGATAGCCAGTCACTTTCTTATTGTGCTAGGAGCAGCCTGGGACATGCCAAGCTAACCAGTGACACTCCTTTTTCAATACAGTTCGTATTGCTCAAGACTTCCCAGCATGCTCTATGTGAGTCTCAGATCCCAATAAGCACACCTAAATATAGAAATTTGTTTGTAGGTGGGTATGCATGTGCTACATATCGGTACTTCCAGTATAGCCGGTCAAGATCTAGGGCTTAGTTCAGCAGAGGACATAGAGATGTCCCCTGTTACATGATATTCCCTGCTCTACAGTGACTTCTTCTGGAGGGCACAGCCCTCCCAGGTCCGAAAGCATAGCTCCTGGAACTAGGGATGTCTCAGATATCTTAAGGCATCTCAAATGGCACTGGAGAAATAAATTTGGGCAGCTGAATTGAGCCTTTTTTGTACCAACCCCAGAGAGCAAGTCATCTGAGCAGCCAGCAGGAGCCTTCCTGAGGATTAGCTGCACCTCTCTCAGTTGACGTGATCTCCTTGTGCTGCACAGGGAGTTAAGACACCTACTTCACATGTTGTTGTGGTTTAAACCCAGCCAGACAGCCCGTTCACTCACTCCCCTCCCCCCCTTCTTGCCCTCCCCCTACTCCCAGAGGGACGGAGAGGAGAATCAGAAAGAATGCAACTCCCATGGGCTAAGATAAGAACAGTTCAGTGACTAAGGTATAACACAAATCACTACTGCTACCACCAATAATAGTAATGATAAAGGAAATAACAAGGGAAGAGAATACAACACCTCAGCACCAGCCGACCGATAACTCGGCCCCCCCCAGCCTGCCCAAGCACCAACCGATACCTCCTCCAACCCTGCAGTCCACCCTAGCCCCTTCTGGGTAACTCCCCGGTACATCCTGGGCATGACGTGCTGTGGTATGGAATACCTCTCTGGTCAATTTGGGTCAGGTGTCCTGTCTCTGCTTCCTCCCGGCTTCCCTCCTCCCTGGCAGAGCATGAGGCTCACAAAGTCCTTGGCCAGACCAAAACATCATTGTTATCAGCTCTGTTTCCAGGCTGAAAGTCAAAACACAGCACTGCACCGGCTACCAAGAGGAGAAAAATGACTGCTACTGCTGAACCCAGGACATATAGACACCTAAATTTGAATGCCTTCACATACAGCTGAATCCCACCCCCCCTGTTTTTCTGATCTCCATTAGAATTTGTGGTGTCTTTAATTTTTCCTGGTCAGTTGTCCTAATTCTGAACTCTCACTCCGGCCTCCTGAAGATCATTGTCATGCTCTTGAGATTTGTACTGTGCAGAAACACCTCAGGATACTTTATCCATTTCTGTTTCTTGATCTCTGAACTCGTTGGATTTACATCTACAAGCAAATCTAGGTTTTTTTGGTAGCCAATTATGTAGTATCCACGCTGGTTGATGAGAAAATGAACATGAGCCGGCAGTGTGCGCTTGCAGCCCAGAAAGCCAACCGTATCCTGGGCTGCATCAAAAGGAGTGTGACCAGCAGGTCAAAGGAGGTGATCCTGCCCCTCTACTCTGCTCTTGTAAGACCTCACTTGGAGTATTGTGTACAGTTCTGGTGTCCTCAACATGAAAAAGACTTGGAACTCTTGGAGCAAGTCCAGAGAAGGGCCACAAGAATGATCAGGGGACTGGAGCAGCTCCCATATGAAGATAGGCTGAGAAAGTTGGGACTGTTCAGCCTGGAGAAGAGAAGGCTGCGTGGAGACCTCATAGCAGCCTTCCAGTATCTGAAGGGGGCCTATAGGGATGCTGGGGTGGGACTCTTCATTAGGGACTGTAGTGATAGGACAAGGGGTAACGGGTTAAAACTTAAACAGGGGAAGTTTAGATTGGATATAAGGAGAAAATTCTTTCCTGTTAGGGTGGTGAGGCACTGGAATAGGTTGCCCAAGGAGGTTGTGAATGCTCCATCCCTGGCAGTGTTCAAGGCCAGGTTGGAAGAGGCCTTGGGTGAGATGGTTCAGTGTGAGGTGTCCCTGCCCATGGCAGGGGGGGTTGGATCTTGGTGATCTGAAGGTCCTTTCCAACCCTAACTTTTCTATGATTCTATGATTCACCTGTGTAGTAGCCAAAGGCATTTTAAAATATCAGAGCCTAGAACAAGCAGAATGTCAGCCTTAGCTAGCATACTATGTCCAACAGTGACACTAGCCAACAATAGTCAGGGAAGATTACACAAGTAGGGCAAACACACAGTGATATTTCTTCATGAGTCTGTCATCCTCCAAGAGGCTGATGCTAAGAGATTCCCTGGGCCAGAAGCGGGCTCTTGGTATTAGCCTTATATTAAATCTTCTCCAATAAGATCATCCCACTGGCTTTGAACCTATGTAAATTTTTAGCATTTTGTGGCAAGGATTTTCACAATTTAACAGGACAGTCCTTAAACCACAGGTTGTCTGTACCCTTAGTATTATAATAAAAGGACAAAGCCATCCATAGGTAAGTTCAGAGAAACTTGGGTTGTTTGCAGGTATTTGGATCTCAACTTACCTTGATGACTGAGCAGAATGAACCAAAGCTATTTCCTACTGTACTGGAGCAGGCTAGGAAACAGCCTTCTGCTTTTAGGTACAGCCAGTCTCTCTCACAGCTGACCTGTGGGGGCCTTTTTCACTTACTGGGTCATTCTTGACTTGTAGGAGCTTTTCTTTGTACAAAATGAGTGAAAGAATCAAAACTCACGTCAGTAAGAACTTGCTTTCAGTTCTTCACTGGCAAATGTGCATTTAGAGTATCCTTCCATAGACACATACACATACCACAAAATCCTAAGTTTTTAAAAAAGCAGTTATTTCTTACAAAGGCTCTTTAAGCTTTTAAAGGAGGTCAGGAAATTAATTCTGAAGTGATGAAGTAGCACAGAACTTGTTCTGTGCTTTTCCACTCTGCACGCCGGTGTGTCAGCCCCAATCATAAAAGAACATTTGCTTTCTCAAAGCATCAATGTGCCATGACTGTGCTGCTTCTCCTCATCTCCCTTTAAACGCTGTTCTGGCTCTTAGGGCAGTTGGCTGATTAGTTCATGCATAACAAACTCGCTCTCACAGTTTGAATCTGTGACCTGAAGAAATAAATCCTAACACTTGCTGGGCTCCAACAAACTTTCCAGGCTGCCAGATAAAAGAATGCTGCTGAGTACCCAGCACTGCATTTCTTCCTTTCCAGGAAATGGTACATCAGAGGAGTTGTGTCCAGAAACTATAAAGCCTCAACCACACAGTGTTTGTCCTCATAGAAAATTAATATGTGTGCTTTTAAGTCCAGTTCCACTGGATGCTCACCACTGTGTCTGTTCTTTTTTTTTTTTTCTTATCTTTGTTTTCTTCTTTGCATTTTCATAGCAGATTTGATACAGGAAAAGATAGAAAGGGAGAAAGTTCTAGTCCATCTACTTATTTGTACAGATTGCTACATCAGGCTCAAAGCTTCTTCATGAGCTCCTTCAACACTGCTCCTGTTATCCATATGTTTTCAAAATTAACTACCCTCAGTTTTCACCCTGGAGTGTCCCAAAGTAGTTTTTGACACCAGCCCTGGCCTCGTATACCCTACCTCAAACAGGAATCTCAGTGCTTTGGATTCCCACCCATCGCAGAAGTCTCTGTTTTGACCCCCTCATTCAGCTCATGTACTTGTATATGTTATTTATTGATACTTGGACATTAATTTTTTCTGTAATATATTTTTTTCAGACATCATTGTTCTCATCGCTTCAATAGCAGTTGTTTCTGCAAAAACTCAGGGTAACATTTTTGCAACATCAGCACTGAGAAGTCTTCGTTTCCTACAGATCCTTCGTATGGTGCGCATGGACCGAAGAGGAGGCACTTGGAAATTGTTAGGTTCAGTAGTTTATGCACATAGCAAGGTATGTAATCCTAGATGCTGATTTTGTCTGGTTGATATCTTCACTTAATGTGATTCAACAAGAGGACAAGGAAACAAACATTTATTAGTTTTGAGAAGAATACCTAAAATTTTCTGAAGTAACTTTAATTGCAATGGGCATTAGCACAGCTACATCAGGCCATGTTAAATAATTAGATTTAGAATACGCTGAATAACAGATTTAGAATACGCTGAAAATGTTGTTCTTGATATGCAGTTGTAATTTGATATATATTGGTGAAGTTGCTGCAGCATCAAACCATAGCAGGAGGTTCGCTGCACTTTCAGATAAAATTTGTGTTCCTAGGGAAACACTTGAGTCTTAACTGCTCAAATGCCAGAAAAGCAGGTAGATCTTTTTGTTACATATTCCTTGAAATGCCATTCTGTTCAGTCTTTCACAGGGATATTGATCTCTGATTTCTTTTATCTAGGAATTAATCACAGCCTGGTACATAGGATTTTTAGTACTCATCTTTTCATCTTTCCTGGTTTATCTGGTGGAAAAAGATGCAAATAACCAGTTCTCCACATATGCAGATGCTCTCTGGTGGGGCACAGTAAGTACAGAAAAATAATACTCACTTTTTAACCAGTATGCTAGAGTGCTTTGAATGTCACATACTGTGGATTTTAGCTTAGTATGCTGTTCAGTGAATTGTTTTCACTGGCAGAAAACTGGTCTGAGAAGCTCCCTCCTCCAGTTATTCATTTGTACATCCATAGCTCATTTCACCCCTTCCTGCAGAACAGGTCTTTATGTGTTTCTGCTGCAAACCAGACCACCAAACCTTCAACAGAAAAAAAAAAAAAAAATTTTATTTTTTTAACCCAGATCCTTTCCGTGGTATAGTTTGTAACACGGCACCACAAAGAGCTGCATTGACCCTAATCAGAGGGCTGTAAGCTGCGGTACACAAAGACAAACAAGTGTTGGGAAAGAAAGAGAGAAAAAATTATTTCATCAGCTTTGCAGTAAAGGAAAGAGTATCATCAGCACCCCAGATGTTGTTTCTCCTTCCTTTGTACCTTGAGCACAAAAAGCAAGAATAAATATCCCCATTCTGTTTCAGCAGTGTCATTTTTGCAACTGTAAAAGCCCTGATTTAGTTGAGCTCATGATTAATTATCAAATCAGTTGTTTTTATTTTGCTGAAAAGTACATGCCTGAAAGACTGCTTTTCTGAAAGAAGGAAGATAACATGAATACTTACTTGTTTAAATAAACTCGGCTTCAAATTAATAATGAAAAACTAGGTGTGAATTTTTGATTTTTTATTTTTTTAAAATAGCATAATGTGTAGGAGGTTTGGCTTTAAAATTCCGTATAGTGAGCTAGACTCTGTGTGGGAATTACTAATGCAGCTTAAGAAATCCCCCCTAACAAAGCCTATGGCATAGCTATTGCCAGCCAGTATAAAACTGCTTTTATTATGCTTCTGACGGAGTAGAACAAACACCATGATCTCCGACATGTTTGGGTAGTGAAGTGATGCCTATAAGATCATTAATGCTGGCATGAACTAGAGCACTCATTAGTTTTCCTGGAACAAGTGCAAGACCTGAACCAGACTTTGCCACCTTTCCTCGTCATAGGGATGCAGAAATGAAGCTTTCTCACTTCAAACCATCTGCTGAAAAGACTTAATCTGGACTCAGTAGTATCTGAAGGCTCAGAGCGTGCAATTGGGTAAAAGCCCTTTCCAAAATGCCTGAAATCCTTCAGAAGTATTTTTAATAAGTTTTCTTTACCTATTGAGCAAGGGCTAAGATCATGTCCTACTAGTAGGACTAGTTTGTGTATTTGAAGTTTGTTCATATAAGGGTTGATAATTTATTACGCGTGTTCCCTAGGGATTATATTTCTGTGCACAAAACTGGGATCTTGGAAAAGCCAGACCTAATAGGTCTTACTTATACATTTACAAATACACAGAAATATTTTTCCCCAAATGTGTTGCTTTAGAGCATCAAGACAGATCTCTGATAAACATTTTCATCCTGTAATCCAAACGCATATAAAATTTGTATTGGCTGAAGTCATGAGAGAAGGTTTTGGCCCAGTCGCTTCCCTGTAGTTTATTTTGTTTCACTTTTCTTCAAAAGCTGAGGTCTAGGTTTGGCTTAAAGCTTTCTAACCTGGCTGTATTGACATGGTCATGAAGTGTCTAGCTTAGGATGAGCACCCTGGCTCCAGCAGTCTGCAGGTACCATTGCGCCTTTGAGGACAGCACTGGGGGATGTGGTCCTGCTAGAGACCCTCCTGTGGCTGCGCACAGGTCTGGGAATGCAGACATGCTTTCAGCCATTCAGTTCTTCAGGAAACACCCTCTACCTCTCTACAAAGCCATGTGTGATTTAGCACTGCTTAGGCAGGACTAAGAAGAGGATTGTACCCACCTGCCAGCAGGCAATAGTGGGTACAAAAGTAGAAACATATGCATAAGGAATGGGAAAATAACAGCAAACTCAGACCTCAACTCAGACGTTTGACTGAGGCTCCTGTTAGATCTAGATCCTTCTCCCTGAGCTGTTCTAGAAGCCAGAACAAGATCTTTATTTTAGTATTTGCTTCTCCACTTCTTGCTGACTGCTATTTTTTAGGAAAAATGCTGCTAAAAGCTGTGTAAAATGGTGCTTAAAATATTTTGTACACTATGAAGTGAAGATATATGAGTCGTAGGTCAGATAAGTGGTGCACCTGAGAGAACAGGAATCTTTTCTTGACATCAGGAGGAAAAACAACAAATTGTAGTAAAAAAATTTAAACCAATCTATATTGTATAGTGCTATATCTTTTCTTCTTTCCCCAGTGTGTGACACGAATGCATTTAAATTTTTAATGTGTTTAAGTGCACGAAGTGACTGAAAATCAGCTTCCCGCTTACCTGTTATCTTTGCCATTTTAATAATGGCATTTTTTTGTATAATATGTAAAACAGTATGTGGGAAATGCATAACGTGCTTCTTAGTCATGGTTGTTTTCACTGCCAGAGTAACCCACGTGCAGATTTTGAAAAGGTCAGATTGTGTAGCATTCTAGGGGAAACTAGTCTCATTGATTTGTTTATTTGCAAAATTTGTTCTAACTTAAACCATGGAGTACCTACCAAATCCCAGAATGAATTCTGTGATGGCAGAATAACAAGCAAAGACTGCGCTGAAGTCAGCCACAAATAGCTCCTTACAAATAGCAGCCTTACATTTCAAGCTTTTAGAGGCACTTATGCCCCTCCTTACAGGACCAGACCCAGCATGCATCAATTAAACCATTCATTAATTCAGATTATTTGAGGCCCACACCCTGCTATGGTCATTTCACTGACTCCATTTCAAAACCCCATATTTTTATACTGAAATAAAAGGTGGGATATGGCATCCTTATTTACATATGAGTACTCCACTCTTTTTGCAGTTGTATGTTGTACTGTGCAACCTGCAGTTTAAACATCATGCTACTGTTACTATTGTTAATATTCTTGTGATTGGGGTCCCCACAGTGCTGCCTAACACAGCAGCACACAACACTGTGTGTTCTATGAAGAGCTCAATTTAAAAAATTGCTTTTGTAGAGAGGGGTAAATTCATTTAATAACAAAATAACTAAACTATATGGAAACAAAAGGTCAGTTAAAAATCTTAAGTATTTCAAAACCAAACCATGCATAGTTTTCTGAGGACTGCTAGAACTAGCTAGAACTGTGTGTGCTTATAGTGGCATTTAATTTGTACATCAATTAATTTTGCCTGCAAATGTAATGCAGTTAAGATTCCTGTCTCTCTTAGCATTTGACAGAGCTTCTCTTACTAAGTCATCATTTTTTAGTAGTATCCAGTAGTTACAGCTGGATACAGAGTGGTTCTGGCACTTCACAGTGACCTGTAGGTCAACAAAACATATTACAATGAATAATATTGTCTCAATTACTAGCTCAAATGAGTTAATATCAATGACGCTTTTCCCACTTAATGTAATAATAGCATGAGCAAACTACTTTTTTTTTCTCAGTTAATTGATGTCAGGTAGAGATTCAAAAGGTAAGTACTGCTAACAGAACATAAAATGACATCAGAAAGAAATATTAGGGTAGACAAAGGCCTCCTGGGTCCTAACTCATCTAATTGAAGGCATCTAGGTTATATAATCACATTCTTTATTATATTGCCTCACAATATATTATATTATTAGCATATTTATTAGCTCCAGCAATGAGTTATAATAGAGGTTTTATTGTTGCTGTGAGTTTTGAGTCCAGGCAGGTGACACTGCCCACCTTGGCTGATCTGTCCAGACACCTCTTTCACAGAAGCAGCCAAAATGGAGTGGTCTGCAACTGGTGCAAAAGACAGGACTCAGCTAGCTCATTTAGCAACATAGGAGTGTGATTCAGTTTCTTGGCCTACAGTGCCATCTCTTTCAGAGACTCTCTCCTGCCTCTGCTGTGGATGGTCCCTGTTCAGATAACTTACAGCATGTTGGGTAACACTTGACGTTTGTTTTCAGGCAAGCCTAAGTCCTAAATTTTCAGTTTGGGTGAGTTACGTGCTGCAGGAATCTCTCTTTTCATTGTCCATGTTGTGGTGACCAGATCATGTTAAACACCATTTTATTTTTCAATTTGGCTGAAATGAATCCTACACAAATAAACTCTAAAAGGTTTGGGTTGTTGTCCTGACGTAGGCTGTGGTGATCAGACACAGAGCTACTCAACATGTATTCCCAGAAAGGCATGATTTGCACACCTTGCTATTTCTTTCACTGTATCTTTAACCTCTTTATCACCACTTTGCTTCCCATGACCAACTCCCTTCTCAGATAAACAACATGTCCCTAATTACCTTCAGGGGTTTACTGCAGATTTTGTAGGTCTGTTACCTAGTCACCCTTGATCTTGTATGGTACCTTTGTTGCAGTCACCTTCATGCTGGTTCTTGCAAGATTGCAATCTCCAAAAGATCCCAAATAATTTCCTCAAGTCACCTTCAAAATTTGGTGACTTCTCCCTTAACCATCCAGTGATGTCTGGAAATTTCTCATGTTTCATGGTCTCACATCCAGTCATTTTCCTCCACACCCTGTTCAGTTAATTTCATGTCAGGATTATGCCAGTCAGGGCCTGGCCACTGGTTTAGTCATTCACTTGTAGCACTAGCAAAGATGGATTCCTCAACTTGACCAGAAGTTGTCTGGAAAAATGTTTTCTCAGTTGTGTGATGAGAGGAATATAAAATGAAGAGCAAACCCATTTGTTCAGTGTTGAATAAGGCAATGCAGCAGGGTGTTGACACCTATACAGCCATGTTAAAACCATCCTGAGATAAAAGAGCTCAAAGTGAGCAAGAAGCAACTGATACTCTTAATCACAGACTGATAGCATTAAGTCCTCAGGACCTAAAATAATGGGGGAAAGGCTTTAATGTGGTCTTGTTGTTTTCCTTGGAGAAAATCCAGAACGCAGTCTGTGTGAGTGCTCCCAGTTTTGGATTGCTCCCAGATGTCAGATTCCAAAGGTTCGAGTTTGTCTTTCACCCTTTCGGAAGACAGTTTGGTGGCAATATCATTAATATGCAGATGACACTGCTGTTTCCTTCTGCTCAGCCTAGACAGGAGATATCTCTGTACTTTCCAGTCTCTGGCAGAGATAGGGAGCTGGACAGAAGACAAGAAAGTGGGCTTGTTCCAGAGCTTCAAATGGCTTCACAGTTATTGGCCTGGAAACGAATTTTGAGGAACTTTTACTAAGGGATTCATTTGTTCAAATGCTTCATTGCTCTTGGGGTCTTAATAGCCTCAAACCGCTTTGCACGAACTGTTCTGTGATAAGAGCTGGGAATACCTTCTTCAGAAAGCAAAGGGAAACCAAATCAAGCCCCTCTGCTAGGTCAAGAGTGTGATTGCATCAGCTCACCTCTGCCAGAAAGGAGGGAGCTGCTTTCCCGTCTCCCTTCCTCCTTATTTGCTCCATCTCAGCCACATGCTGCCTCGTGCAGCCTCTGGAGCTTGTTAGATGCCTCCATGAACTAGCACAACTCATGGAAACAGCAGAAACAAACCACACAGAAATGTGGATAATTCTTTCCACCTCCCTGAGTTGCACTGGCTTCCCAGCAAAATCTGGGAAAAAAAGAGGGGCTGGGGCAGGGAAGTGAAGATGAGCAAGGAAAGAGAGTGAGACCTGATAATCATGCAAGGTGCTATGTCTGTGACCAGGCTAGCATTACAAAACTCGAGATTTGATAACCACTTGAAATTACAGATCACTGTCTTTTAGCCATTATGGCATTTTCAGGGTAGATTACACCCACAGCTAGCTCCCAACAATGGGAGCAATTAAAAGCACTTTTTACTATCTACAGGGCCCTAAATAGTTGAAATCTAATTACTTCCAAAAGACTTTCTTTCTTTTGTCCTGTGGTGACCCTGGCATTAAATGGAATTGCTTTGGCCGCCTTGCCTAGGAATGAACGTAGAGGAAGCTGAAAGCAAAATAATGTCTCTAGAAGGCATTTTCCTGAAGAATTCATTCCTGCCAGAGTATTTGCTGAGCCTGAACTTGCCCACATTTGGTACACGATGTAAAATAATTCCCCATGCACATGTTCTCTGCTATAACAGGCCCTGGAGTCTTTGGCATTAAGCCTACTGTTGTCTATCTTTGTCCTTTAACATTGTGTGCCATTGCCTGAGCACGCGCCCTGCAGCATCCCATCCTGCCTTTGGAAACCCTTCACTCTGCTCACACCTCCTCCTGCCTGCACCAGGAAGGAAGTGGGTCCAAGCTCCCCAAGAGGGAAGCTCAAAGACATCACTTTCTCCTACATGCAAGTCCAGCCCCCAGGTTCAGGACTGGTATTCTTCCCAGGGTAGGAGTAGCATGGAGGACATTTCCTTGGGTCAGGGAAGATCCCCAGCCACACACAGACATGAAGCCATAGTCTTTTGCCTTGGAGATATGCTCAGTAGACCATAATCATGCACCATAATCCCAGTGGCATTTGCATATGCACTGCATTTCTACATGCCCTGCAGTCAAGGAGTTGCATGTGGAGAACCTTCCCATGTTTACCAAACTGCCGTCATATACACTGGTGCTATACAGCAGGGATGCTGGCCTTTGCAGCACAGCTTTTGAAGCATCTAAATGCTGAGCCTCTGATTACACTCCCCACATGAAGGGATTACAGATGCCCTCCTCTTTGTCTTTGACCTCTCCCCATATCGGTCTGAGCTAATGTTGTCCAACAGCCTGCGGTACCACTACATCTGCTGTGTAATAGTCTTTGGTCCTTCATGTCAGGAGTGACACAGCTATATCTGAGCCTGTCATAACAAAGAGGAGAGGACTGTGAACTTCTTAAAGTTCCTTCCAGATTTTGATTAGTGTCCAGAGGATGGCCACAAAGATGATCAGAGGGCTGGAGCACCTCTCCTATGGAAACAGGCTGAGAGAGTTGGAGTTGTTCAGCCTGGAGGAGAGAAGGCTTCAGGGAGACCTTAGAGCAGTTTCCAGTGCCTAAAGGGGGCCTACAAGACATCTGAGGAGGCACTTTTTACAAGGGTCTGTAGTGAGAGGACAAGGGGGAATGGCTTTAAACTGAAAGAGGGGATATAAAGAAGATATTTATGAGGCACTGGCACAGGCTGCCCAGAGAAGCTGTGGCTGCCCCATCCCTGCAAGCGTTCAAGGCCAGGTTGGATGGAGGAGCTTTAAGCAACCTTGTCTAGTGGAAGGTGCCGCTGCCCATGCCAGGGGGTTGGAACTGATCTGTGATTCTGATTATTTAGGTATTTTTCTCACATTTATTATCTATCTCCATGTTATTCAGTCATAAACCCTATTTTTCGTAGAAAATTGTAATAATTTATTTATGTTTGGTTTTCTTTTAGAAACAACTGTATATTTCATGTGTCCTGGGCTATTTAGTGGAAATGCTTTTTCATGCAATGTAAATAGTCTGCAACTAATTTCTCAGTGAATTCTGGTAAACCACAGCATACATTAATTTCTTTTTAGATCACATTGACAACCATTGGCTATGGAGACAAAACTCCTCTTACTTGGCTTGGAAGGTTGCTTTCTGCAGGATTTGCTCTACTTGGCATTTCTTTCTTTGCACTACCTGCTGTGAGTATGCCTGTAAAATTTGCAAAAAGGTAATAGAAACTTCTAGAGTCATTTTGATATAAAAGGCTTAAGGAAGCTCTCTGTATGAAGAACAACTGCTTGAGGTTTGGGAAGTTTCTTTGGCATGGACAAAACTGGGAAATAATACTAAATTAGGTCACATACTATTGTGTAAGGTTGAAATTCCTGTTTTTTATTATGAATTGTGGCTTATATATTACTGTTTTTCTTTCAGATTCTTTAAAAAAAGTCAGCTGAAAAAATAAGTGAGATATTTCTAATAGGTTTTCTTGTAGATGGTGTTCAGGCTACTGACAGAGAGTAGTAGAAGGCACTAGATCAACCAAAAGTTTATGTCATTTAATGTAAAAATGCAGCTATCATTTTCTGTGAATGATTGTAAATAAACATGATGGTTTGTTTACATTGCTTTTACCAGCTTTCAAGAGACTTTAATGGAAATGGGAATAATCTAATGAAAAAATATAGTGCAGCTTCAGAAATAACTTTTCATTTTTGTGAGAGAATTTCCTTTCTTAAATTACTATTGAATAAGCATGAAATCAGAAGTGACATTTGTATTTTGCTGTATCGCATCTATTGCAACATATACAGACAGTCAATATTTTAATACTCAGGTTCATTATCTGTAGATCACTATAAAACATGCATGTTATAATAATACATGTTTTCAACCATATAGACAAGCTAAGATTAAGAGTCCGCATTTGCCAACAGCATTGAATCATCTAGTGTACTGCATTTTTTCTTACTCTAAGTATAAAGAATATTTCAGTATCTTTGACATATTATAATGCATTATAATTATAGTAAATTGCCTGTTTGTGAATCTGTAACATTTAATGGCAGTTACTGTAATTAATTCCTTTTGTCACCTAATTACCACCAAGACAGTTAGTCTTAGAAATACAATGAACATGTAAACTATTAATAACCTTAAATATTAGAGATGCCAGAACTTTCGCTCCTCGTGTCATATCTATGTACAGATACTAATTTTTCTCATAAACACTTTTGTGTTGAATCTGTCTGTAAAACAAGAGATATGTTGAATCTTGTGCATTTCCAATATTATTTTACCCTGACTAAGGATCAAATGGAAAAGTTCTTCCTTATAATGCAGACATGTCCAGCAGAAATATTATCACAATATCACAATATTATACTCCTTGCAAGCCAAGGAGGGAAACATTCTCAATCTTTGGGTCTGTTTAGTAGTAGTCAAATTTATCTTACTTATTCAAAGGTAAAAGGGGAGAGATTTCATCATCATCTTTTTTTCATAGCTTATAGAATGAGCAATAGGATTATCTGGATGGGAAAGTGAGAAGAAATGGTCTTAATCTGCTAAGCAAGGCCTTTTCTAACTTTTATATAATCAAAAGTTATTAAGCACTGCAGATGTGGACTTTGAGGTCCATGTATATCTGGCATATCTAGCAGGTGGCCATTTCATCTTCCTGGCTTGAGTTTCTCTGAATGTTCCTGCTAGATTTTATCTATGTACATATGTATATAAACCTTATTCTGTCATATACTGTCATAAACATTATCTGAAGCAATTACATAGTATAAAATCTTCACAAAATCTTTATAGTTGATTATGTATATTTATTTGAAAAACTACCTAAATAATGATAAATGGCATATTGTATTGCAGGGTATCCTTGGCTCAGGATTTGCTTTAAAAGTGCAGGAACAGCATCGGCAGAAACACTTTGAGAAAAGAAGGAACCCAGCTGCCAGTCTAATTCAGGTAAATAAGAAATCCATAAAAATATAATAGAAGGTTATTTAAAGTACACATTGGAGCAGATTTTATTATTTCAATTTGGAAAGTTTTGTGGGAATAACGTTTAACAGATTGGTTATTTTCATGACATAAGTTTGCTTAGTGATTTCTGTGTGTTAATGACATATTTATATAACATTTATATGAACGGTTTTTGAGTTCTTCTATCCATGCTGAAGAAGCCAAGTCACGCATGTCAACTGCATGCCTGCAGTTAGTGAATTCTGTTGGAACAAGTCCAGAGGAGGGCAACGAGAATGATCAGGGGACTGGAGCACCTCCCATATGAGGATCGGCTGAGAGAGTTGGGGCTGTTCAGCCTGGGGAAAAGAAGGCTGCGTGGAGACCTCATAGCAGCCTTCCAGTATCTGAAGGGGGCCTATAGGGATGCTGGGGGTGGACTCTTCATTAGGGACTGTAGTGATAGGACAAGGGGTAATGGGTTAAAACTTAAACAGGGGAAGTTTAGATTGGATATAAGGAGGAAATTCTTTCCTGTTAGGGTGGTGAGGCACTGGAATAGGTTGTCCAGGGAGGTTATGAATGCTCCATCCCTGGCAGTGTCCAAGGCTAGGCTGGACGAGGCCTTGGGTAATATGGTTTAGGGCGAGGTGTCCCTTCCCATGGCAGGGGGGTTGGAACTTGATGATCTTAAGGTCCTTTCCAACCCTAACTGTTCTATGATTCTAAAATAGAATTGATCCCTAAACAACCCAATTGACAGCACAGCACTCTTCCCCTGGCAGGGGGCATGGTAATTAAGCTACTTTTCATCTACTGCAGGGTTTAGAGTGCTCCAATGAATGATACACTTGGTGAAAATAAAAAGTGACCTGCCCAGAGAATTGCTTTCACTATTACTCAGTTCTAAAGCTGGACATGTAGGTGCTAACAATTCCAAAATGTCTGAAATTGTCTGAGGTGGTTTCAGCTCCAGTACTGACAGAACAAAAACTGAGACAGATTTTTTTTTTTTTAACAAAAATTGCATATTTGATGAACAGCTGCTTTGATTGGGGTTTTTCCTTAACTTACAGTCCTAGTTAAAACTGAGAACATCCTCTAAAGAATGATTTTGCACCAACCTTCACTCTACTTGGTGCACTGAGAAAAAAAGGGGGGAAATAATCTTACAGTGGCCTAGTTTATTTTCTTTGGATCCCAAGTGGTTTATGTGTGCCATTTATGCTGTTATGGTTTTGTTTAAAATCTGAAATAATAAATCCAAATAAAGAAGCTGAGCATGATTCTACGAACATGCTAGAATTCCATGATAAGTTCAGGGTAGATGCCAGGCCATCTTTGAAGAGCGTTTTTTTAAGTTAATAGATGTTTTCCATTATTACTGTACAGCTTTTATTAAATGCTAAATATTTGAGATTTAATATTTTTTAGAATATTAAACATAAAGCCACTTCTTTTGTATCTATTGTACTGTAGAATGAATGTCTGGGATATTTTCTAACATATATTCTAATGTACTTCTTCCAAGTTTGGTTGCCAGAGGAAACAGAATAGATTTAGATTTTTGATGTAGCTCATCTTATTATTGTATGACAGTTCAACCAAAATATTAGTTAGACATCACGCTAAATAGATTCAGATCAGCTAGCTCACTGATTTCAGAAAGTGACTGTCAATTGGCAAAATCATTGCAAAAAGAAGACATTTGTGGTGGGTTCACATGATGAAGGCTGTTCAGCATTTACGTGTTCATTTTCATGTTCAGAATTTTAAGTAACCTGGAAATTAATATAAAATTGCTGATGGAGATATTTGCCAATGGCACCAGACCTGGCAGAATAGGAGAGGTGAGGGCAGGCACACAGGAAAGAACCCAAGGATCATCTGGGTGACTATACAGGGTGGACTGATTCTTACCAAAAGCTTTAATACACCAAAATACAAACCTTGATCTAGAAACAATGAAATCGGTGTATTACAAGAGGTATCTGTCCTAGTATTAGTGTCTCTGAAAAGGATTTGATGAAAGATGAAAAACACAGAGAGGAAAGAGTAGGAAAGAAGGGTCAAGAGCTTCATATAAGTTACCAGTATGTTACCCCAGCTGGTTTATTACAGTCCTTAGATACAAAACCAGAAAGGTAACAAGGAGACGGCAGCTGATATTATCACTGCGTATGGTGATGCCGGTACTAACATGCTACATATGTACATAAATGCTACATATAACTCAGTATCTAAAGTTTGCAAATGAGACTGGAAAACTGGAGGAAGTAAAGAAAACACTGGGGGGGGGGGGGGGGGGAATAGTTCAGGACTGGAGAAAATTTCATGTTCATAGATGCAGGATGTGTGTGATCATTGTCTACTGTAACTGTGCCCAGGCCTTTTTTAATTGTCTGTTGTGGATATTGATAGTGAACTACCATAGAAATGAGCGTGCTATAGCTTATCAGGATAGCATCTATTTTTCTAATCAGCTACTCTGTAGAATTAATCTGTGCTAACTTCTCTGTTGCCATAGCTATACAGACTCCTAAAGCCTTTACCTGACTTTAAAATAGCTAAGGTATCACTATAGAAAGCTGAAATGTTTCATATTGACATACTTTTCTCAATTTCTTTAGCTTGTAAGAAATATTCAGTGTGAATATTATTTGAACATAAAAGTCCAGAGAGGAATTAATGGAACCTATAGGACAGAAACATAAGAACTATCTCTGGCTATAAGCCAAACCCAAAGAATTCCAAATTTAAAATAATGAGGAGATCTTTGACGATGAGAATGTCGATCAATATACAAAGTGACAGGTTCTCCACCTGTAGATGAAGACTAGACATATTTCTGGGAGATGTGCAGTAGAAAAACACAGGGATGATATTTAATAGATGACAGTATACAGCAAATGCAGATACTCAGATAGTACAAATTAATATAGCTATGCTAACATCAGGGAACTTGTTCCGATTTCCAGGACCAAGAATCTGTCTTACCATCTACATGCAGTTATAAATCTAAACCGTGAATGCATTTTCAATGCTATGCTTTGGTCACTCTCCTTTGATATGATTTATTGTGTGTTCTTAAATATTTAGCACTGTTTCAAACCACAGAGAACACTTCTCTTTCCTTCTAACTGCATTTTGTCTGATATTCATTGTAATTTACTAAATGTATTATGGCACTTTCTTTACCTCAGACTGCAAGTTTGGGTGGGTGCCCCTGTGAACTTGTCACAGATAAATCACTGCAGTGCTTTTTTGAACACCTCTTTGTGCTGAATATCTCCTGGTGCTTTCACAAAACCAGGAACTCTTCTTTCACCATGTAATATGTACTGTGATTCACAAAAGTTTTAGTAGGTTTTCACTGGTATTTCCCTAGTACACCTAATAGAGCACATCCCAATCTGAGAAAAATGCCCTCTGTCCATAACCAGTGCAGTGGCATTGTCACTTCATGTTCTTGGTTCCTTTGTGCTTTTCTATTGTTTCCCCACACCAGGCTTCTTGGCGGTTTTATTCTACTGACACCAGCCGAACAAACCTGACAGCCACCTGGCGATATTATGAAAGTATTCTTCCTCCCCTCAGGCATGTATCAGTGCTATGAATGATAAAAGAAAGCCATGACTTGTATTGGTTACTAATCTGCTTTTCATTTTTTTGTTTCATTCCCTGCTCCCTCTTGCCTTGTTTTTTCTTTTTTACCATATATCCTGCACGTAGTGTGTATGGCGTAGTTATGCGGCTGATGAGAAATCGGTTTCCATTGCTACCTGGAAGCCTCATTTGAAGGCCTTGCATACCTGCAGCCCTACAAAGTAGGTACAAATATGGCATCTGGTGCTGTCCTCAATGTCTGTTCAAGCTTATGGATAATTACTATTTGTCTGTTTCATCTTGTTTTGTCTTCTTCAGCCTTCTCATTAGAAATCTCAACTAACAAATCAGATCAGTATGGTCTAGGAGCCTAGCACAGTGGGACAAATACAAATCATTGCCATTTATTGAAGAAATATGCCTGAATACAGGCATTATAAACATTTTTCCCCAAACCCCGAAGTCATATATCAAGGTTAAGGTTTCACCCAGTTCCAAATTACCTCTAAGGAGGAAAACATTAAGTTTAATACAGAGCTAGTTCCTTGATTTAATGCTGTTTTTCTGGCTGTGCCTCTGTGTAAGGCTATAGCTGCAGACTTACATTGCCAAGGGAAGAGAGCTTTGTGGTATTCTGCAGGTGAATGCACTGGGAAATTTGATCCTCTTCATCATAACTTCTGATATATTCAGTATTTCCTTAGGGTGAATTATATTCTCAGTTACCCACACAGGCAGTGGAAGATGACTAAAAAGACCTGATGTCGCAGTTTGGCAGACAGGAAATATTTGATGTCCTAGTTTGTGTGAGAATTCACAGAGCACTGGCAGCTCAAGACTCTTCAATAATTCAGGAAAAGATTTACCAGAAGGTAGTAAGCTGGCTGGTTCAGTGGGGGCACAAATCAGGAAGTAAAAAAGAGTTGATAAAGATCAGAAAGGAGAGCACTAAGAGCCTTATGGGAAAGCTCTGATAAGCATCCTAACTGTTGTTATTGCAGACAGTGCAAGAGAATTAGTGGTTTCTCTCAAAGCTGGGTGATGAACATCCACATGACAGTAAAAAGGTAATCGTGTGCCAAAAAGCTCAGCCAAAAAGAGGTTTGGCTGGGTACCCAAAGCTGATCTTTGAATTTCAAAGAGTTGACAAGAAGAGAGCCGTAAGTAATCCATTACTATAGCTGTAATCCCAAAATGCTCCAAACTAAAAGGAGCTTTTAGATTAAAAATTACATGGAATATTGATTTTTGACAAATATACAAACAAGTTGAAGGCAACATTGGTATAAATTGATGGATATAAAATCACATAAGTAATGAACCTGTGTCCCGCCTAAATACTCTAAAATATGACTGTCCCTCAAAAGTGCATCTGCTTGTTATTTTAAATAAGTGTATTGCTGTGCTATCCTAAAATTAAACCTTTTTATTTACCAGAGATAACTTTCTCTAATAAGAGCCTACAGCTTTCTGTTAAATGTGTGTCAGCAATGCATTTTGCCTAAGTGCTTTGCCAACTCAGTCTGCAGTGGTATGTACTAAGCATGTTATATGCATGTGTTAAAACTGAAAATTTTCTTTTTCAGAAGCATTGTAGTTATGAGTCTTGCCTGAATGTTTTTGTGGTTGCAATGTAACATGTGTGTTGTACACTAACATATCCATTTATGTTTACCATATATCTAACATCATCTTTAACTAAGCAATGTGATTACTATCTGCATAACAAGTATGTTTTTCCCTCCCACACCCTGACCTGAAGAAAAGAACAAGGGGAAGCTTCTAGCAGGTTTGTAGCTTCTTTTATTTCTTTTACCTGTGCAATTGTTGCTTCTTAATGGCTTTTAGATGTCTCCTCAGGTTCTGTACAGTAGGTTCAATGAACTGTAAATGTTAACAGATTAGAATCACAAAACTGTATTTTTTAAACTTGTACCAATAGACTAATGCTGCTGAAATTTGCTTCTCTGTCACAGTTTTTGTATGGAAAAAAATAGGCAAATTTTTATGTTTCTATGCATGTTTTAACTTTAAGGGGGAGCTCGGTTCAAAAAGTGGCAGTGTAGTGAGTGGAGTAGCCTCCCTAGACCCAGCTCCTGGGTAAGGACATAGCCTTGGCTTTGGCGTAAAATCAAAGCTTGTGATTTTCAGAAATCTGTAACTTCTAGTGGAATTTAGAGGCATATGGCTGAATTTGGCTTTGTGAACAAGCCCACCAGCCTCTGTCGCAGGGGCAGGACCTCCCAATGAAGCTGGTTTGATATCACCTTAGCAAGGGTCTGTTCTGCCCTGAAGAAACATCCTGTCCTTCTCTCTTAAAGAGTGTTTTGGGACACGGTGGACAGGGAAACAGCACCACTGCAGGAGCTCACCTCCTCCCAGATGCAGGGTTTGCACTCTCTCATGACCCTTATTGGGTGGGGGAGACAGCCTGGTATCTCTCCTTAAATAAACCCTAGCATCCCTGGCCAGGAGGGTAGGCGGTGTTTCTACCAGCCTGGGTGCTGAATGAGGACTAGTTGCCTATAGCACACAGAGAAGGGCTGCAGCAGGGCTGTCCTCACTGGTAAGCCCTGGTGATGCATGTCCTAAGGTAGTAAAAGGAAATGCTGCTGTTTGCTGTACTTGTAGCCCAAATGCTTAGGGACAAGAAAGGACTCAGTGGCTACAGGAGAAGTTACGCTACCCCTGAAACTCATTAGCAATGGGAGTCAGCAGGCGTTCGACAGCCGGCACTGCAGTATCATCAAGATCAGAGAACAGTGAGTTAACCTCTGAGCAGAAAACAATGAAAAGCCAAGAATAAAAATGGCAGTGACACAGCAACCCCCGAAATACATCTTCCCCAGAGTTGTACTGTAGTTCACAAACTCCTCTGGGTTATTCACTCAAGGGTGGAAAGTCTTCAGATCAATTACCCATGCTCTGTTCCACTTTCCAGATTGCTCATCTAGCACCTGACTCCATCCTTTTCCCTGATGTGCACATAACTATTGTTAATGTCACAGTAACTCAAGGGGGCTGGAGTTGCTCTGAGATGTCCTTCATGAGCACTTCACCTGCTCTGTCAGTTCTGTGACTTTCATATACATTACCCCCATAGGCTTGCTAGCAACGTATTGATCTCCTTAAATTATTACAGCCTGATCCAAACTATTTGCACTCGCCAAAAGTATTTCCTACTCTTTTCAACAGCAACATTTAAAATTGACTTAAGCTTTTTTAAAGGTGAGACTGAAGTTGGCAGTAAATGAGAACACTTCCAAAACAGTGATTTGTGCAGAAGGGAAAGGTTATTCCCAGTTGTACCTGTGAGCACTTAAAGAGACAAATTTGCTCATACTAAGTAGATGCTATATGCAAGAAAATCCCAAATCCAAACCAAACCAGCTGTCAGAACTATATTACATGCTCCATACTAGTGGTAACTGTTTTGGATTTGAAAGTAGTCAATGATTTAGTCAGATTTTTTTTCACTGTATTTTCACTGAATGGAAGATGTGTGTCTTTCAGAAACTCTAAAGCTGTCTGTGCACTGTTGCAAATTAGTGTAGGTATAAAATTGAACTAGTTAACTCCTGAGATCCTGGTCTACAATAAAAACCCTACAGACCACTCAGTGCCTTTTAAAACAGTGGCTGTTTATTGTCTGATATATTGCTATGTTTGTGTCATTGAATATACATGTGGTGTATGTGGTCATTTGTGGTAAAAATGTATATGTGAACTGCTGCAGCATACTTTGAGATGACTGTTCTCGACTGTTTTAACTTCTTTCTTACTGCTATGCTGATTGACTTGCATGGGATGCTATGTGAACTAAGAAAGCTGCTTCTTGTTTTACTTTAAATGAAGATGTGTTTGCACAAGTAGTGCATTGATTTGCTTTCTGAATATGCTCTTTGATCTGTATCCGTTCTAACAACAGTAGAGACAAACTTTTATTTACTTTAGGTAAAAGTAACTTATTTTCTACCAAAATGACTTTTACACTTACAGAAATTAAGTCTTGCATTTTGCTACATATAGACCTGCAATCTTTCATTAGGTAACTGAATACTGCTGTGCATTTGAGTTGAGAGAGCTGTGCTTAGGAGTCTATAGCTTCATATTGATTTTAAGCAAAATATGTATGCTGTACTACTCAAAATATTATACACACATATCCTAATTAATCATTTATCAAAACTAATGGTAGATAACTTCTCTAGTGTATCCACACTGTAAGTAAGATACTTCTATAAATCAGTTGTAGAGATCTGCGAGTTATTTTAAAAAACCCGTATGTTAAATCCTCCGTATCTACAAATGCACATACTGCATGCAAATAATGCTATTTCTGTTTAAATATACAATGTGGCTGAAATTCTTCCTGTGCAGGAAACTTGATCAAGACTGATGAATCTTACAACATCCTGAGAGCATAAGCAGTCTTAAGCTATGTGTAGGACATGCATTGGGTGTCTGCGAAGGATGAGCATCACCAATCTAGTGTTAACTAGCAAACCTGAATACGAATTCCCTATTGAGACAGCTCTCTGGTTCAATAAGGAGTTTCACCAGTATAGGAGCTTGAGGGAAAAACTCATCCCTGCTCTGACAGAAAGAAGTAAATTGTGCTCTGGAATTCTCTCTGCCTCCTTCCTATACTGTATCTGTTTCTAAAAGTATATTTAATGTAAACTCTCTGCATGCACCATATGAAAAAGAAAATGCCAGTGATGCAGAATCTAACTTGAGGTGGAAAGCCTAACCCCTTACCTAGCAGTGGAATGCTTAGTAATATGGTCCTCTATCTCCCCTCACTCCTAGTAAGCTTTGTAGTAATAAAGAGAAGCTCTTCAGGATGTACACCCCTCGGAAACATAGGTATTCAGCATCCTGCCTATTCACATGATGTTTGAGAATGCCAACTAACATCAGGTGCATGATTCATTTACTTCCCCTCCTTAGTGCTTTGAAATTCCTTACTTCTCCAAAGGAGGCAATTTTTTTTATTTATTTTTAAGTGCTTGTAATTCCCTTGTTGCTTGTTGCCTGCAATTACATTAATACAATGGCAATAATACCAGCTCTTTGAAACTCATCTGATCGAACAACTGCAGTGCACAGCACGCTGACGTTTGCTGAAGCTTTGTTCCCCTTCTCTCCCTGAGACTTGAACTTTCGGAATGCATTACCCTGCAGAGATCTAAAACTGGGGTTGAATATTTGGGTAAAGACATTTCCCCAAGTCCAAGAGGATTTTTATAACCATGGCAGTTGAGTTCTTCATCTAGTAATTAGTGAAGAATTTTAAGCTATGCAAGCTAGGCAATACCAAGTCAAAATGTGCAACTGTTGTTGAGAAGAATCCCCTTGGACGCAGCCCGTGGAAGCTCTCCCTGCATCCTGTGCTGGAAGGTAGAGGAATGCATGTGAAATCAACCATCTGCTTCAGCTGAATTCTGTGGAAATTGTGTCTCTTACCAAAAATGGTAATTCTTAGATGGATGGATCTTATGAGAAGAAATCCTTGATTTATAACTCATGCATATTGCAATTTTTTTCTTACTTTTTAAAAATAACGCAAAAGACAATAGAAGTACAATCTGATGATAGAAAATTGAGATTAAAAAAAATAGTTTCTCTTCATCCGGAAACTGTTTTGAAAAAGGGAAAATGTACACAAGCCCGCAGAACTACTTTTTTGTTTGTTTGTCGATTGAACTTCATGGTCTTGAAATTGACATTATATCCTTGAAATTCCTGTTATTCCACATTGAAGGTATGAGGTGTAAGACTACATTTCTTGGGTTCATGATCCTATCATGAGCCTGGTGGAGAAGTCTTGAATGTTTGAACTTCAGGTCTCACTGTACTATCCCTTGCATTTGCATTTATTCAAATTATCTTAATTTCAGTGAAGGCATCTGTAAGCTTGGTAAGAATCAACATCTGTATTTATTGGAAGATAACTGCCGAAAATGGGCATGTACATTTGCTTGCTGCTTGCCATGGGTGATATTTTTTGACAGTTTTAGCTTCTATCTTGACTCGAAATCCAAAGCATTTTCTCCTACCCTCAGACCCTCCAGTTACTTTTGATTCATTCCAATTTCTTCCCATTCCCATTTCAAACAACCAGCTCACTACAAAAAGCTAGGAAACAAATTGTAAATTGTGGGTAGCATCAAGCAGTAGTGCTGCAGGTCTTAGGCTGAAGCAGAGCAGAAGATAAACTTGACCAGAAATGCAGGAAGGTAGAAAGGGAAATAGGCGAGGGGAGGAAAGAAGATACTCAGATAACCAAAAATTATAGTAAGATGGTCCATGGAAGACAGACAGAGCTGTGAGTACAGGAGAGAAAAGCAAAGCTTCGAAGGCATTTACCAAGTGCAACGAAATCTTAGCAATTCTAGTCATTTGGTCGCCCGGAGAAGGGTTTGTTCCCTCTGCAGTGAAACTTCAGTGACCTCTAGTGTCCGTAAGCACCTATTCCTTCATAAACCGCAGGTGGAAAAGACAGCATTTAAAAAGGAAGAAGAACTAGAAAGCCCTTTGCTATCCCAGTAAAGTGAACGGCTCATGCTTGTACTGACGGGAGGAATGAGTGGTAAGATCCAGCAACTGACGTTCCATTTCCAGAAGGCAAACAAACAGAGACAAGTCACTCGCTTTTTTCCCACCGAACCTTAGTACAAGAAATGATGGACAGATGCATGTCTGAAGAAATGCAGAGATGGCTGGAGGCAGCTGTGGTTCTCTCAGGTCCTTGTCATTTAGGCCTGATTCAGGAACTTATGTAATTTCATTTTCTGATTCTTTCTCAAGTGTTTTGCCTTTTGGACCTTAATTAAACTTAAAGCTTGGGATTACTTACATTTCCATTGGCCATTATTGTGTTACATTAATTCAAGGGATTTCCCTTGGATATTATATAAAAAGAGAAAAGGGGAGAGAGGAAAATAAAGTGGGCTACATCCTGCAAGAGGTGAAGGATTTTTAGCACAGTGCTAATCTAACTGGCATTAAACCAGAGTAAAATGTCCTAAAGGCTCCAGTGGGTACTGATTCAAGTGCAGAATGCCCAAAGATGCTTGAAAGGGCACAAAATTATCTCCATTCTGGTGTATCTCTAACACTACTTATTCCTTCATGCTCTGTTATTTATCACATATAGAAGAGCCACATGAAAATGTTGGTCAACAGCTTTCCTCTCCCAGGCATGAATACTCCATTGCTGCAAGTCATACAATTCATGCCTGCACTGAGCAGGACCCAGTGACTTCAGGAACATTTCCCACCAGTCTCAAAATAGGAACAGGGATCCATGAAGCAAAGAACTGGTATGACCAGTGTCTGAAGAAACTCTCAAGATGCAAAATAGAGTTTCCAAACCATGCTTCCCTCAGGGGCTGCATTTCTCGTCACAGTGCAGCATCCTCCGCATGGACCCTTGGCATGCCATTACATTGCCATTGCTACAAAGCAGAGGTTATTTTTATTTTCGAGTATGAGGTCTGCATTTTAAATTAATATTTTCATTCTCAGTGTTGCACTTTTGAAAAATGTCTGTAGTACAGATGAAGTGTCTACTGTTCCTTTCACCATTGCCTCATTGCTTTGATTTGGAGAACTAAAGATATTCAGGTTAAGTAGCCATTGTGTACCATTCAGCTTTTATAACTGAAATCACCCTGTGTACAAATCATTTAAAAGCAGCCATTACTTTCATTAGCACAAATTAATTGACAGAACAACATGTGTGATTTTTTCTTTGGTTTGTTTTTTTTTTCATTATTTTCACTTTTATTTTGGAGTTAATGGGATTATAAAAAATATTGTCTGTACTGATCAGTTTTATGGCTGTTTTACCAATTTTCCTTTCATTTTAATTAGTGCATCAGGGACAGAGCTGTCCAGAAACTTTTTTACTCAAAGATATGTAAACCAAAAAGAAAAATCTGATTTCATGCTACAATATTAAATACATTTTGAGCTGCAAGATGAGTAAAAAAAAAAAAAAAAAGCACAAGAGACACATGCCTAGGAATAATATCTGTAATAAAAAGTCCATTTTGATTCTGCTGCTCATGCTGTATAGTATGACAATGCAATAATGTGGTTAATAAATATGTTACAGCTTATATTTTCATTAAGTTGTACAATGCAAAAGATTCCTGAGCTGAAATGTAATTCACTCTTGAAATCTAGTTTGTATTGAAAATTAAATTTTAGAAGTCACTTTTCTTTCAAATAGTAGGTTCCGTGGGTCTTTTGTATTGTATATGCAACAGCACCCAGTACTGCATGTCTGGATAACAATTTGCAATGGGAACAGATGACTTTTCCAGTACCATGGTGTGTTTATTTCAACAACTGCTTACTTTGGGCAAGGGAATAAGGGGATTATATTCAGAAATTATAGTAAAGGTATTCTTTCAAGTGATTCAACATGCCATATAGAAATACGTTTATCTAATAATCTTGCTATTGATATGCTCACTTTTTGGCATTCTTGAAAATTATCTCATTATAAGCTTCCCAGCATGTGCTTTGCCTGGTACAAACTGCATCCTTTCTGCTCTCAGTGATGTGTGTACTCAGAATGAAATGCTATGCTATGCTGTGCTATGCATGGACAAAGATACCTGATTATCTCAACATTTCACAACCACAGAATTTTATAACTACTTTCCATTTCATATAATTCTATATTAACACTGTATTTTCAGAGTGTTAGTAGTAGGCTAGATAGCTAAGGACCACATAGTCCATGTTAGCATTAGTTGATTAGCTGCAGGGTTCATTTCTGTTGAAAACATCTTATGGACATGCTGAAGTTAAATGCAAAGGCTTTGGGAGTACTAGAAAGTGTCTTAATTTCAAATACAATTATAATTTGGAGGTAGACAGACTTTGCTATGTGTGTTTTAAAAGCACCCCAAAGCCTGTGCCAGAGCAGTAGTACTGCAAGACCCAGCAACCTGCTCTAGAGGAAGGTGTCCCCCCCTGCATGGCAGGGGCATTACAACTGAAGGATCTTTAAGGTCCTTTCCAATCCAAACCATTCTATGATTCTATGAACATCATACGATGAGCAACTACTGTATTGCTCCAATCATCTCTGCTGTTGCAAGAACAGCACTACTAATGAAGACGACCATTCCCTTGTACAGGTGTTTGAACTTAACCTTATAGCTAAAACAATATTTCTAAACCTTGCTATCAGACTTCCTTTCTGTTTCCCCCTTAAGCCTTCTGCTACAGGAAGAGACAAAGGCAAAAATGTTAAATGTTGAAAAAGAATAAACAGATAGTTATAGCGATCACAGGATGTTCATTAGATATGTTTGAACGTGAGCAAAGGTAATCTAAGCACTAGGAAGCAGATAATCTACATATCCACAAGAGGGGAAAAAAACAGCTTAGAATTGGACAGCTGTTAAGACCACAGGGCTGCCACTGAGCCAGGCCAGCAGTCACAGTCATGAGCTTGTCTGGGCTCCTATACCTGTCTTAAAGTGCCTGTCCAATATCACCTGCAGGCAGTCAGCTCACACCTTAATTCCCTGCAATGACTTTAGTAAGCACATATTGTATCATTACACTTCCATTAATCAGTCATCATACTGTTTCTTGGCTGTTTTGTTAATTTGGTTTTGTCTTGTCCAAGTGCTGTAACAAGGAATTCTGGATATGGGAGATGATTAACAACGCACGTGAAATGTTGGAAGTGCCACATCTTGAAAAAGCATGAATATACTAACAGTATTTTTGCCTGCTTAAAAAAAAAACAAAAAACAAAAAACAACTAAACAATACTACATGGCATGCAGTAATAGAATAATTTTGTTCTTGTTTATTTGAAGAGATGGCCAGAAATGCACTGAGCTGGCCTGACTAATAAACCTATTTAAAATTTAAGGAATAGAAATAAAAGATTTTGAGATTAATCTATAAAAATTGGGTGAAACTTATTAATTTTAATTTCACTTATAAGGTTATTCTGTCCTGTAAGATAGACTGCCATTGAAAATACTTCTACCAAAAAACAATTAGATCAAATCAGTTTCATTCCCAAATGAAATATATTCAATCAAAAGTGTGTGAGAAACAGATTTGCACTATTAAGAATTTTTAGAAATTATTTTCAATTATCATACAATAGAAAAAAGAAATGGAGTGAAGGAACCATGAAATAAAATGTATTTCTCTCCTTCACAGTCAAAAGCTAAGTTTTAAGGAGCGGGTCCGGATGGCCAGCCCACGAGGTCAGAGTATAAAGAACAGGCAGTCTTCAGTTGGAGATCGCCGGTCACCAAGTGCTGACATTGCCACTGAGGGCAGCCCAACCAAAGTCCAGAAGAGCTGGAGCTTCAATGACCGAACACGCTTCAGGCCCTCACTGCGGCTGAAGAGCTCGCAGCCCAAACCTGTGGTTGACGGTAGGAGTCTTTCATGCCCCATTTGCCGTTGCGCACTGCTCCCAGCCTGCTGGCGCTCTTGCACACCCGCACTGTGAACACGACACATTTCTGTAAAGCAGAAGGAATTTCTGTCTGGGGTCAGAGACACATAGCCTTCTTCAAAGAGCATGCCAATGGGATTATTTGCTCTTGTGTCAGTGGTGCATAGGGAGCAATGGGTGGAAAAGAGGGTCACTACTGAAAATTGCAGGTGGGCTAAAAACATCACATGGATTTGGGTGCAGCAGCTCTGCACCTCTCGCATTGCTGGGCACAGCTGCTCTCCAACCCTGCTGCCTCTGCACCAGAGCCAGCACTGCACTGCCTGCGCCTGTGCCAGCAGAGAGCACCCCTTTTACAGCACTGCCCTCCTCAAGCAGGGGAGCTTGCTGAGGAGCTGCAAAGTGCACTTTTACCTACACTGGGGTTACAGCTGTCAGCCACCAAGAGACATACAACTGGGTGCTTTAAGTTTTACCGGGATGTATCCAGTTTGGTAAGGCAGGTGTCTTCAGCAAGTACAACAAGCATTATTGCATTTATGTATTGCTTTCTAAGGGGTATTTTAAATGTAGGAAGGACTCCTACCTGTGAAGAGGTGGATCTCTGTGAAAATGGCTTGCTGAGAGTGCAGCAGGCAAGAACATAGTCCTTCCTGCCCGCTGCCTCCCATGCTGCCCCTCTCTGCTCTTTTCTAGCTAAGGTTCTTTCTCTCATTAAACTAGCCAGTGCTCAGAAAGACTTCCCCCGACAGACAGGAGTCAAGCATTCCAGATGAGCCTGACCCCTGTAAAGGATAGATCCTGCACTGAAAGGTGCACTCACACAGCTCTAGAGGTACTGCTGCCCCAGTGACTTTGGTTTCTCCATTCGCATTTTTCCCAACGTACAAGTGATTTATTCTTTCTTGTGAGGCCCCCAGGTAGAAAATAAGGGAAACAAACTGATCAGTTATAACAGGAGGCAGTGACCCTGACTGTTTGGGAAAGGTACAACTTAAATAATTCGATCCAAGTAAAGAGGTGTAACTTTAAACAGTTTCTGCTATGGCAGTCATCCGTCATACATCCAACAACCGTGGTAAAACTAATTAGGCAGAAGTGCAATTTTGGTATCTGCTTCCTTTTAAAGAACACATATTATTACAGACATGTGCTTTGCAGAATACCCATTGAACTGACATGCCCCATCCTTCAGCTGAGGACATCCTACGCCACACATCTCTTCAGGAAAAGCCTGGGTAAATAAACATTTCCTGGAGGACAAACAAGACAAACCAACATTGTTTGCTAAGGTCCTTGTTCCAGGCTAGCCCTCCCCTGTGGAGACCTGTCAGATGCACAGATCCTGACTTTGGCTGGGTTACAGTGAGCTACTGGGGTGTACCCACCACTAGGCTGCTGTCCAGGTTGCTCACCACTCCTCACTATATTCTGTGGCACAGGCCCTGGCTCATGTCCCACAGCAGCTGCATCACAGGGGCTGTGTGATGCTGGCCTGGGTCTCCAACTGACGTGGAGTTGGGACACAGCCACTTGCTCCACAGTGGGAAGTGAGAAATGGTCTAGGTATCAGAGTGGGGTCAAAACACCCTGTCTAAACTTAGGCTTCCTATGTAATCACATACATAGCACAGGTATCTCCCCAAAACCACGTGATCACCAGAAGTGATTTCATCAGTTAAACCCCTGTAACCCGCAGTGTGCCTGGAAGTGACCCAAGAAGAGAGTAATTTGTTGAACACACTCCCCGGGTATCAGCAGCTCACTTCTGCTCCAGCCCTGCAGCCTGCACCTCACTCAAGCATCCGTTTAGTTTTTCATCAGCCCATTTCTCACAGAAACATTTCCTCAGCTTGTCCTCTGTTTTGGCCTGCACATACTGTCATTAATAGCAATGATCTGCACGAGATTGTGTTCCCTTTTATTGTCTCCCTTTCATGGAAAAGAGGGCATAAACAGCACCTTGGGTATATCTGTAGATCAAAGATAATAACAACAACAGAGCGATCATTGCTATGTGCAAACCCTGAAAGATCTTCCCGCTCCTCAGGGCGAGCACAGCCTGTTTCCTGGTCAGCGGTTTCCAGCTACTCTTCCACCCTTATGAACTGGGGCCAACAGATACGACCAATTTCTCATCCGTGGCAGAAGGAACAGCTTCCATTGTCTCCAGCTTTTAGGCAAATGCCAAGTTTCCACTCTGGGACCTGATCCAGCTACTTCTAGGAGTGGTATCATCAGAGAGATGTCCACTGTGCTCACTGCTGAGAGGCAGCTCCCTGCTGCCTTACCCATTCGCTGCTGGAAAAGTTAGGCACTACCAACCTTGATTTCTTTTGTGTGTGTGTGTGTGTGTTACCAGTTTCATAGTTTGATATTCTTTCTGCATTTGACAGCTCAATGAAAAGGATCTGGAGATGATGTGTTTAATTTAGAACATCTTGCACTTTTCAGTGGATGAAAATACAGTATTTGCAGCATTTTATTAATATCTCTCAGTTTTCAGGTCCTCCAGTTTCCTCCTTGAGGAATTCTCTGGCCAAATCATTAATTATTTTGGTGGGCTGATCTTCAAGCCAAACTAGAAACCCCCCCTTTCTGGATGAAAGTCTGGACAAAAAAAAACATATTCTTGAACAGCCGGTGTTTCTGATGATTCTTATGTCTCTGTAGCATGTTTGTGGGGAAAAGAGACTGCATTTGCAATAGACGTTTTGGATAGTGGCAGTATAGTCCTGGGTACCCAGTCCAGTGTCAAGACTTTATGTGAGTGATCTCATGAAAAAATATTGAATTCTCACTATGAACTTCCCCTTCCAAAAGAGAAGATGCTCAGATACTTGCTTGATTTTTATTTCACTGTATGGGATTTGGGGTTGTAAATGACCTTCTTTACCACAGGCAGAGAAGAAAATCTGCTGTGAGTTCCTCCTCCGTGAGGTGCACTGAACTGCATGCAAAAATAAAGCAAAGAAGCAAACGTAGAAGTAGAGGGCTCAGAAAGGAAGAGAAATTGTTAGCTCCCAAGGATGATCTAAGGCACACAGTCAACACAGCAAGTTTGCAGGGCTGACTGAGTTCTGATAAAGGACATGGTTGGAATCTGGGCCAAAACCATCAGAAAAAGACTGCTGGGAAAACTAAACATTAGCAATTAGAAACTGGCCTGTAAAGGGAGATTTCTAATCCAGACAGAAGCTTATGGAGGCAGCTTAGAGGCTAACATGATTGAAAATGTAGTAGCCTTCCTCTTAGGCTACCCAGTAACAAAAGCTTACTAACGCTACCCTGCTGCATATTAAAACCCTAAAAGGAGAGCTTCTTGGCTGCTAGCAAAACATTTAAGCTGGCCACAGGTATCTCCCAGAAGGATTTTGGCACAGCAGACTTAGAACAATATGACCAAAACTGTTCCACAAATGACTTTATTTATGGGTAGCAACAGTCCTCTGAAACTGCCTATAAACCATTTATTGCTGTTGCCAAAGTGGGCCTGGCAACAGCAACATTTATTTCAGCTACATATGTGCACTTGTAAAATGGAATCCAAACCTGAGAGAGCTTTGATGGCTGGAGAGGTCTTTGGTGGTATGGCTGCAGACGCTCTCCAGAGCACTTAACAACAGTGCAGGGAAGTGAAATTGAGAACCAGGATTATATAATTTGATTTTAAATACGTGTCCAATCTCTGGTGACATATGACTCACAACTGCCAAAACTCTTGTTGAAGAGGGGACACTGCACAGATTACAAAGGTGCCAGGATGCTTTATTTCCAATCCTTGTTATCAGTCTAAAGGGGAATTATCAGGACCAAGCAGATCAAAGGGAAATCTTCACCAACCAAGAACAGTAAACAGTGAATCTTAAGAAAGCACACAAGGATACAAGAATTGTATAGGCTCATGCAAGAGCCTGCACAAAGGGGTGCCACTTCACACAGCTGAAGATGCTGCCTGACTTCAGAGTGGCACACAGCCACCCCCATACCTGTACACAAAGTGAACCAAGAGCCACTCCTGTCCCCAAAGCCTCCTTATACAGTATAGCTTGTGTCCCTGCACCAAACCAGGGAAACTGCAGCCAAACTGGCCATGAGGAACTGCGTTTAGCATGTGAGAATATCCACTGGCAGGGGTCAAACCCATGCCAGAGTCTGTGCAAGCAATTAAATAGTATAGGTGATCTCATGCCATTGCTTTAAGGCACTGTGCCCATGCCTCACTGTATTTAATGTAGATCCAGCCACAGAGACTCACCTCACAAAATCTCTCTTTTTCAGACACTGGTGTTCCTGCCCTGGTATTTTACTGCTTACCTTTTCTGAGGAACAGAACCTTTTCTGCTTAAATCATGCTCCAGTCTTGCACTATGACAGCTGAAGTCTTGAACTTATGTTGTGAATGCAGTTCTCAGTAAGGGGCAAAAATGCCCTATTATACTTGTTTTCTACCATCCCATGCTTCTAAGCCTTTTCATGAGTTATTTTGCCTTTACTGTAACCTAGAGACATAGTGTAGCTTTTTGAATCAAAAATGTTCAGCACTGGAGATATTGCCAGCATATTCCATTTGATTAATTAAAAAGAACTCTCTAAGGAAATGTTTGATTTCTTGCACCATCCCTGAATAGGATGCTCTCACATGACCTCTAACCTTTCATTTCCTACAGAGTACTTGCACGGGATCCTCAGGGTAGAGTATATTATAAGAGCCATGGAAAGAATGCAATAGTGCATTTCAGCCCCCATGTCCTCAGTTACTACCATGTAATTTATGTATTGCAAAAATGACAGGTTTTCCTTTCAGTAACACAAACATCTTGACCTTCTATAAGTTTCATTGATGTGGCAAAGGTCCTGAATTTTCTGGCTGTAACGTCATGGTTAGCTTAAAGTTACTGATTCAAATAAAACTGCAGAGTGTCAGAACAGAGCTGCTCAATTTGTATAAACCCCACATGATGGGACTAAATAACA